CTCCCCCCACCTCTTGATTTCACCCTCTCTCTCTCTAAAACACAAATCTCTCCTTTCTCTCTCTAGAATTGCTCTCTTTCCCCCTCTGTTCCTTTCAAAGGTAATCACCCCTTCCATGCCTTTCTGTTTACAGGTTTCGTTCACGCACATCTCGCTGTTTTCAAGTTTCTTTTGTGCACGCCTTGTTGCTTTTCTCCCACGTAGGGTTTACCATTCTCAGACTCGGTGTTTTGTTAGTTCAAATTACAAATTATTCCGAAAATTTTGAAATTATTTTCTAACCAGAGATGTATGGACCGACCATTTCCGACTTGCCCTTTTTATGGTTATTTTTTTGTTAATGATTCAGCAAACCATATAGTATATATTTTCACCATTCACTTCTATATAATACATTTATCACAAACATGATCCGCATAGACATATGACCCATGACACGTATTCCGCTGAACCGGATCGAACAAAACAATTTCAACTTACCTCCAGCTTCGGTTCATCCGGTTATTTCCGGTCAAGTCAAATACTGGTCAAGATCGGTTCATCTCGATCTTCCCTTGACTGGTTTATCTTTGAAATCTATTTATCTTCACCCATAAATTCTGATTATTTTCTATTATAAAAATTCTAATTTTCGCTCAGTCTAAATCATTTTAAACTTTTTTTTCTAAATTATTCTAGATGTTAAGAAATATCGGAAATAATCTATATGTCATTTAGGGATGTCAATTTGGACCTGAGGTCTAATCCGGTCCGAAAAATAGCGAGTTTCAAGTCTGATTTTTTTTATCTGAAAAAAAAAATCGGACTTTCGTATGGGGCTCGAATCGGGCCTTGGGTCCGAATCGGTTCTGCCCGAAAACCCAATATTTTTTTAAAAAAATTCTTATTTAAAAAAAATACAAAGGATTTTGATCGGGGCCAGTCTGGTCCGACCCAATGCGAATCCAAAATCTATAGGGTGGGACTTTAGATTTGGTTATATAGATTCGAAAAAAATCAGATCGGTCTGAACCAGGGGCGGACATACGTGTATTGGAGTGGGGTCCTATGCCCCCACCCACCTAATTAAAATTATACAATTTACTTATAGACTTTATAAAATTATAACCAAAGTTAAAAAAATGCCCCCATCTGATTTTTGTAGTTGCCCCCACCCTTACTCCTCTCCCCGTTCTTTTATTTATTTTTTTCTAAAAAAATTGTTTTTCTTTTTTCTTTTTAGGTTATGCGGTTACCATTTTTTTATTCTTTATTTTCTATATATTTTTTTAAATTTTTTTCCCTCTTTTTCTAACAAAATATAGACAAACACAAAAAATAAAATAATAATATTAAAGATATTTCAATATTATGATTATATTTTAATCATTTTTATTTTTTATCTTTTCATATGTTTCTAAATTTAATTGGTGAAATCTAAAAAAAATAATTATAACAATAAAGAGATATCGGATGAGATTCACTTTTAAATAAAATGTATTTTTTTGTAGAAAAACGATATTGGAATTATCAATATAAAAAAGATTACGTGGATTAAAAAAGATTAAAAAAAAAGTTTAAACAATTTGCATTATTACCCGTTATATTTTTTTATATTACTATAGATTTATAACTTCAGGAACTTAGTGATCGATTTTTGACGAGTTAAATTCAAAACTTTTCATTTGCATGACAGTATAGAGTTTTGTTAATTTATTTTGCTAGTTTAACATGTCAAATTTAGTGAAATTGTGTGAATTGTGTGAATTTTATCGTGATAATTTCAGTTATTTAAAACAAATGTATATTGGATGTGAACTTAATATCTATACCGACAATTTGATAGAAGATGATAAGTTTTTTAATTTGATTAATCTTGAATATCATAATAGACAATTTAATTAATTATCTAATTTGTTTCACCAAAAAATATAAGTTTTAAATAGTTATACATAAAACTATTATGGATAAATTTTAAAAAATAAAAAATATAGAATTTGGTAAATATTTTATGATGATATATTTTTATTAATTTTTTATATTTTTATATATATAATAATTTTTGTCCCAGTTCAAAAAGTTTCTAGATCCGCCACTGGTCTGAACTCGAGTTAAAAATCCTCGGACCGAGTGCGGCCCGATCCGATTGACACCCTAATGTCATTCATAGCATTACTGTTATATCGGTTTTACATAATTATACGAGTACTGTCAGCTCGTATAAACCTATGGATGTGAGCGCACACATGTGTGTATATACACACACACGAGAGAGGTAGTGGCTCGTAGTTTGCCCCGTAATAGAATCTTATCCTAATTTCCTTGGGACACAAGCAACTATGTCCGTCCATTACACCGTATCTCTGTTTGTTTTTTTTTTCAAATTTTCCTTTTTAATATAAGTGGCAATCGAATCGAAAAAGCTCCTCCGAACATTACCAGCCGTGGAAGTTTCTGAGATTCGCAACAAATTAAAACTCGATTCCAAACCTATCTCAGAAAACAATAACATTTTCACATTGATGTTCTGAGTTAAACTTCCGATCTAAACTACAACCTTTTTAGTTTCAGTTATGGAGTTTGAGAGCCGGTACGGGTCGAAGTACGACTGTCTCTTGTTCGGTAAGTTCGATCTTTACGTACACTTGGACTGTAAAATTAGATTGTCATGCATGGCTAATGAAAACGTTCTCGATTACATACGATGATTCTATCACTGTTTCATTGAAATTACGCAGATTTGGACGATACCCTTTATCCGCTCAGCGCCGGCATCGCTAGGGAATGTGGAAAGAACATCAAAGGTAAAAGTATTGGAGTCCCAATCTCGAGATTCATGAGATCGGTATTACATCGTATGATTTCTAAAGTGGGATTTTGGATTTATAGATTATATGATCGAGAAACTGGGGATACGAGAAGACAAAGTCGTGGAGTTGTCTAATTTGCTGTACAAGAACTATGGAACTACCATGGCCGGTCTTAGGGTATGTGATCAAATCAACAAAGTCCTGAAATTACGGTCGGATTAATGTTTATGACATCAAGATTGTATGTAATCTTGGCAACTTATTTTTCTCTCTGTAGGCGATCGGGTATGATTTAGATTACGACGACTACCACAGGTAAAAACGGGTTTAACGTATTTCATGGTTACACAATTTCATATAAATTTGACCTAATTGGGTATTCTGAAATCGTCACAGCTTCGTTCATGGAAGACTTCCCTATGAGAACATAAAGCCCGACCCAGTCCTACGCAGTCTCTTACTCGGCCTCCCTCTACGCAAACTCGTACGTATATACACATTAACCACCGTATATTACATGATATATATATATATATATATATATATATATTTGCTATTAACTCTTAACATTTTCGTGGAATCAGATATTTACCAACGCGGATAGAGCCCACGCGGTTCGAGCTCTGACCAGACTCGGTTTAGAAGATTGTTTCGAAGGAATCATATGTTTCGAGACCCTCAACTCGTCCCACAAGAACGTGGCATCCGACGATGAGGATGATATCGAGTTCATCGGACGGTCAGAATCCGCCGAAAACGTCCCGGAGATTTTCGACATTGTAGGATACTTTTCCCGGTCTGAACCGGTTATTTCACTGCCCAAAACCCCAATTGTCTGCAAACCATCTGAAGCTGCTATCGAAAAGGCTCTCAAGATCACCAACGTCGATCCTCATAGAACGGTAGAATCAAATCTTTCTCAAGTTTTTTTTTTTTGCTTTTTCGAAACGTGAAAAATGAATCTTGATCCATTTTTCTCCTCGCAGTTGTTCTTTGAGGACAGTGTCCGAAACATACAAGCTGGAAAACGCGTTGGTCTTAAAACGGTTCTGGTATATTTTTCACCTGTGTCTTTTGGTTTCCGGTTCGGTTTTGGTAAATCAAACCGAGATCTAAACCGGCTCCTCGAGTATCGGTTTGGTAATGAATCCAAGTTTGTGTGTTGTTTTAGGTTGGTACTTCGCAGAGGGTCAAAGGGGCAGATTATGCATTGGAGAGCATACACAACATGAAAGAAGCGTTGCCGGAGCTTTGGGATTCCGACATGAAGTCGCCGGAGATTGGATATTCCGGCAAGGTCGCCGTCGAGGCATCCGTTAGTGCTTAGGATTCCTACCGAGTCGTTTTCGTAACGTAAATTTCTTATCGTATAGAATCATATCGTATAGAAGAGTGGGGTATGGTCCAATGTTACAAATTTATAGAAATGACAAGTCTACAGCATGACATGTCGTGCCAAAAAGGAATATTACATGACAACATGTGATGTTGGTTCTATTTTTTTTTTTTTTTTGTAAATTTGCTTGAAATTTCTATTACGATTTTACATTAAATATATATTAATGTAAATATCAATTACTGAATTATATGGACAAAAATTGTGGGAGCATCTCCATTGTATGATTTTTGTTGGGTTTATTATATATTTTTTTTCTAGTAATACCCATATGACAGTTCATCCACAGCTGTTTGCCAAACTATTGCATTACTAAATTCATTAATATTGAACTATAACAAATGGGGACATTGTTCATAATTGTAAAGCATTTTTCCTTATACGAAATAAATATCAATTATATATGAAAAAACAGTAATTCTCTGCAATAGTTACGATTCATATATTTTTCTTCCAAATTTGTTAAAATCTATGTGATTTCTCTCCTAAATATTAATAGAAAAATTGGATAATTTTTTAAAGGAAAGGGACAATTGGATAAATTTAAAATAAAAAAATATGATTATTAAACTATATATATATAAAGATGAATTCAATTTAAAAAATATGTCGGTTTTTTTGTTTGATTTCTATAGTACGGATATTCTTCTCACATTAACCACGAACAAATCTTCCACGCAAATCTCATGTCGTTTTGAGGTAGACGAGACGCATAAAAACGACACGTAGTCTTCAAGAATTTAATGTCAATTAACAATTTCGGCCCACTTTAAAATATGATTCTGGGCTCAATTAGAACAGTTTTAGGCCCAGAAAAGGGGTGAACGGACAACGTATCGACATGTGTCAACTCATGATTGGTTTTCGTCTTTACAGTGTTTTCCCTTTTCCTCTTTTAGCTGATTCTGTAACTTTGATGGATATCCAAATCGATTTTGTACCCGTTTTCAAATCAATTTCACATAATCGTAACATTATTGGAATTGCATATTTTCAAATTTATCGATAACCAGAATTTCATTACAAAAGTTTAATTTGAAACACAAATACTCCCTTAATAATTTTGGTAAGTCAGTCGGTTATTTTTTTTTTATTCACCGTCTATATTATAACCGATATCTCTTATATAGTTATAAAAAAAAATTAAATTAATTGGGGTTCGAGCAGATCTATTAAATATTTCCAAAATGAAAACACACCTATAAGTGCTATAAGTGTTATGTCCTTTCACGTCGGATGTACGCATGGGCGGATCCAGCTCTTTAGCAGTGGGGTCACAGGCCCCCACCCTTTTTTTTAAAACAAAATATTTTCTTTACAAAATTTATAAAATTTTACACAAATTATTATATGCCCCCATAAAATAATTAAAATTACTATTATGAAATTAACTTTGCCCCCAATCATAAATCTTTCTGAGTCCGCTACTGGATGTACGTACACTTTGAACTTTTGATACATTTCCATCATACATATGTTCACGTGCTATACAATTAACGATGATCATTAATTAAGCTAATTATAATCAAAGAGAAATCAATTAATGGAAATATATAATTTATTTGCTTGAATAAAGGAAATGGCAAGTTGTCCCCCGAAAGTCAAAATCGTACAGAATATGGCTCCGAAAGTCAAAATGTGAAATGTGTACACTCATTCATTACAGAATATTTTCATGTTACTATGTTCCTCGTTGCATGTTATCCAACGTACGCGTCACCGACCAACCGTATATAACCAACCATGCACGTACCTATACTTTGCTTGTAACCCCATTCTATTAGATTCATCGTGCTTATTTACTTGAAATATATAATTATTAATCTCATGATCATCTATAATGTGTTTAGCAATTAAATGTGATATACATTAATATATATTGCCGTTTCATGATCCACTATATATATATCAAATGTGAATGTTGTAAAAAAAGTATTAAATAAACGAATTTTAGTGAGAGGGTATTTGACTATTTAGGACTATTGGAGACACTAATGCTCGTGTCTGGGTGGTACGGAAGTGATATCGTTCCTCTTGCTTATTCTAAACGTACCAAACAATAATTAATGCACATGCATTATTATTTTTTTCTAACTAAGCTTCTCTTTAATAATCACGAAATCATGATTAATTCCATTATTTAAACCCCATTTATTTATTAATTAATTAAACCAAATTGTCGCCTTATAGCGTAAATGATTAGCTTCTGTGAACGTTCTTGGACCCCGAATACCTTGTATTCCTCCTCTCTTTTTATACTAATACGAAAAAAAAACTTCTGGAATAATTATATATTGCTCGAAAAATAAATTAAAAAAATATCATAGATTTTATTCAAACAAATAACAACTGTAATTTAGAAGTCTAGTGAATATTCTTATAACATAAAAAGGAATTAAATTGGTGAAATATTAACTACTTATATATTTCAAAAGGACCTAATTTAAAAAGTGATTTTATACAAGGGTACGAGTCAATCGGTATATATATATATATATGGATTAAATAAAGCGAATCCATTGATTGGCTGGTTTGAGTTATGTTATTGTTTGGATTATTCTATTAAATTGCATATAATAAATACGCAACTTTAGGATGCAAATTAACAATCTCACTATTTATTTTTTGTGTGTTTTGGGCATCACTAAATTTATAGTCGATGATATTGTATTGACATTAGATAAGCGGACGAATGTAATTATTCATGTATAAGTAACGTAGTAATAAAAGGAACGTAGAACGCGGAAGGGGTAAGTAATGGCTTACGTACGTTTTGCTCGGATGAACTATAAGTAAATATTTTTAAAAATGGTAAAGGGCAATAAATGAACGCACATGGATCTAGTGGTCATAATATATTATTATACATACTTATATTCATATAATATATACATATATATATGTATGTATATATATCGATTGGGGGCATGATAAGATATATTTTTAAATGCAATAAATATGAACTTGCATTGTGCACACCAAATATGAAAAAACAAACTAGTAAATGCTTGGTTCATTTAATTCACATTTATGGGTATGTACAAAATGCGTGTGTGTGTGTATGTATGTATGTATGTATCGTGGTGGGGGCATAAGATGATGGTAAAACGTGATGATGGGCTCCACAAACGGTTAAAGGCCCAACGGCGTCGGCCCTCTTAATGCTTCGACCGTATTTCCTGTGTTCGTATACGGACACACACACACTCTCTCTCTCTCTCCCATCCCCAGATCCGTTCGGCCCTACTGTTTTATTTATTTTTTTTAATTTAGAAAAATCCCAAAAATAAAAACTTTAATAACTATATATTATTATGTACATGATGGGATGATACGGATTGGTTTTCGAATGTTTGGATTTTATAATTTTCTGTTATCTTAAAATGTTTAAAATTTAAAAAAAATACATGCGAATTATTCGTCCGCGACCAAACGTTTTCGAATTTAAAATTTTTTAATAAAATATTCCGTAATGTCGAATCTGAATTAATTCCATTGGGATTAAATCCGCACAAAGCATGCATTGTTGTGGTGATAATTTAACACAACGGGCATTTTTAACAAAAAAGATTATATAAAAATGTGACGAGTTTATTAGGTTTACCAAATATAATAAAACTTGGATTGGATCCGAGGGTTCGTTCATGTGGGTTTTCCCATTGGGTAACAAAATTGACGAAAAGCAAGCTCCGTGACGTGCCCATGTGCAGGCCACGTGTACTTGCTGCTCCTTTGCTAAGAAAATCAATAAACAAATGATTTATTTGGAAACGGTGTAAATAGAATTATTTGGAAAGCATTAAAAACATATATTATAACAGATTTTAACATTTATTAACCATATCATTCATTGCTTCTTTTATTTTATATTTTATATGGTTTTCGTTATATTTCTACATCATAGTAAATGAAATATATCGTTAAATAATTCCTACAAACCGATCTCAAATAAAATTACTAATACATTATAAAAAGATAAATCGCATTATATACACACACACATATAAATCATTTTACATGAATATAATCCAGTGGTGACATGTACCAACTGTGTTTGTACCAACTGTGTTTTTTTTAGTTAAACAAAAAAAAAGCGCAGGGAAATGATATATAACCTAATAATGCAATATCAAGATTCTTTTTACGACGAAGAAAAATATCAAGAAAAAAAAAATGAATACGTCATGAGTTTGATTGAGCGGTTAATTAAAAATGAATATATTACAAAAAAATCATAGAAAATATAAGATTATTCTTTGGAATAATAAATAAAGGTAGAATATTAAAAGCCGGAGCTTTTATCGGAAGCGAGTTTCTCCCTCCATAAGTACCCCTCGAGCTTCTCTTCCACTCACAACTTTCTCCCTTCCCCCCTCTCTCTCTCTCTCTCTGTTCCGTACAGAAGAATAATGGCATCCGAGTCATACAGAGTACTGATGAAGCTAGTGGCGGTGGTCCCCGCCGTGACGGCGTCGTTTCTTGCGGCGGAGGTGGACGCCAAGATCCCCGGAGTTTACTCCGGCGGTCCCTGGATAGACGCTCATGCCACCTTCTACGGCGGCGCCGACGCATCCGGCACCATGGGTATTCTCTCTCTCTGTGTCCAAGCTCCTCTGTTTTCGTTCCTTGTCTCACTTGAATCATCATTTATGGTCTCGATCCAAACGAATTTCAGAGAGATTTCACTGTCTTTGATGGTGCCGAAACATTGCAATGTTTGTGTTCTGTCGGTATATATATTATCTCAGGACAGAAACCTAACTTCGTATCTGTCGTGTATATATATATTATATACAGGTGGAGCTTGCGGGTACGGGAACTTATACAGCCAAGGATACGGAGTGAATACTGCAGCACTAAGCACCGCTTTATTCAACAATGGACTGAGCTGTGGAGCATGCTTCGAGCTCAAATGCATAGACGACCCTCGATGGTGTTTGCCCGGAAACCCTAGCATTCTCATCACTGCCACCAACTTCTGTCCTCCGAATTTCGCTCAGGCCAGCGACAATGGCGGTTGGTGCAATCCACCAAGAGAACACTTCGATCTGGCCATGCCCATGTTCCTCAAGCTCGCTCAGTACAAGGCAGGGATCGTTCCCGTTTCTTACAGGAGGGTTCCGTGTAGGAAGAAGGGAGGGATAAGGTTTACGATAAATGGGTTCAAGTACTTCAACTTGGTGCTGGTTACCAACGTGGCTGGTGCAGGGGACGTGGTGAAGGTTAGCGTGAAAGGGACCAACACTGAGTGGATAACTATGAGCCGTAACTGGGGACAGAACTGGCAGTCCAATGCTGTCTTGGTCGGACAAGCTCTCTCCTTTCGAGTCACCACTTCCGACGGCCGCTCCTCCGCCTCTAAAAACATTGCTCCGCCGTCTTGGCAGTTTGGACAAACTTTCTCCGGCAAGAACTTCCGCGTTTACTGATACATATACATTCTTTCCAATTCATAATCTCCAAAAGAAGAAAAAGATATTCGAGATTTACGATTTGGAGGGGTTTTTGTTGTTGTTGTTGGGTTTTTTCCCTTATTTTCCCTGGGAAAATTCCGGGTTTGCTTGGGTGGCAAGTTTGGTTAATTTCTACAAAAATTAGGCGTTGTTGTGTCTTCGAGTGCGTTTGCGTGTGCGTGTGTAAGAAGAGGCTGAAGCGACTGCAGAAAGGGGGGATGCAGCCCGCAGTTCTCGTTCACGATAATTATGTACAATGTCATATAATATAATAAACATAAGCTATTTAAACTATATATATTATCTGTGGACCTCATTGGTGATTTTGCACAAATAATTTAAGGGACTATAGTCTCTCTCTATATATATATATGAAAAACATTGGTGTTAATTGGTCATGGTGTATGTATACAAGGGCATGATCACTTATATATGTACAAAAAAAATGTAGAGATTGATGGGCTAATACATAAAAGAATATAAATAGTCTAGTTTCTTCCCAAGTTGAATCAATGATTTATGATTATATAATAGGTTCTTGATATATTATACAAATATACATATATAGTCAAACTTGTACGCGCGGAATCTTTTTACGGCCCAAAGTCCGAGACATACGGTTTGTGGTATACGTCTTACAGTATGTAAGCAATCATACATCATATGCATGTGATTGTGTTACACCATCAACCATCAACATGTGCAACCTGCAAAATCGCAATCTGTAAGATAATATCCTATATTTGATATTTGGACTATCCTCCAGTCGCACTCCAACATATATATTTTACACTAAAGATCAATATATTGGGTTCACATCAATTTCTTTAATAATAATAATAATAATAATATCATTTTTTTTGGGTTATAGTGATGTGAATATATTGAGTTTATATATGTGACATTTGGAAGAGGTTGGGATGTCAATTTGGTCGGTTTACAAGAGGGAGAGCATAAAATCCTTTCGAGAGTCATCGCTTCCCCTTTTGGGTTCCCGCAAGAGAATTTTCGGCACAAAAGAACAAAAAAGATGTTACGCTAAAATTAAAGTTATTAGAGTGACCAAGTTCTGTTAGGGTTGGTTTGCTCCCTTCCACAAAACTCCCTTTCTTTTTAGAAATTCACCCATTTATATATATATATATATATATATATATATATATATATATATATTGCAAAATCGAATAATAAAAGTATATACATGTATAAAACTAAATCAAATGGAATTGAATATGATACAAATGCATTTGAAGCAAATCTAATCTAAAAGCTTTTAATACGATAATTTTAGATTTATATTAATCGAATTCGAAACATTAAGCCGTCAATGATGTTTCTACGAACATCTTTCATTAATCACACTTGTAATATTGAAAACATTGAGAGAGAGAGAAAAAAAAAACATTACAAGTAAAAGCTTACTCTCTTGCCATACAAACCAATATTCCATTTTAATTTATTTTAAATATAACTGATCAATCAATGGTGGTGTAGAGCTTAGAGAGCCTACTTACTGCCTGAGAACTCTGTTTGAGCTGAAGAGGAAATTTTCATCAGCACCTGCGATGGTAGAGTGGAGCCTTCCAGGGGCCCAGCCGTTGTTCATAACCCTAGCCACGGAGGCACGTGCGGCCCCCCCCGCCACACGGCTCTCTTCCACCCGAGGCTCGAACTCTGGCAGATTCTTTGCTTTCCTCTCCTTCCGCCTCTTCCTCTCCTCGTCCCGTTCTTTCCTCAGCCACTTCTCCACCGTCCTCATCAGCGACATCTTGCTCGTCTCTCTCACCTTCTCCATCGGCATTGCTAACTGCAACCTCCCGTTCGCCACGTACACCTACAGATCCAACAGCTCTTAGACAGTGATCCCGGGCCATGTCGTGTGTAAGGAATACAAGAGGATTCGGAACTTACAATGTGAGAGGGCCATTCCTCGAGACCATCGAATATATGGGTTGCGTAGATGATAGTCGCTCCCCGTTCTTCACATTCCTTTCTTAGGAATTTCAAGAGGTCAGCTCTTGCCAGAACATCAAGATCAACTGTTATCTCGTCCAGAAGGAGAACCTATACACGACCATGGAAATCGGGTTCTGGTGATTTACGCGTATTACACAACTCATTCAAAGAGAGCGATCCGGCACAAAGATTACCGAGTTTCTCTAGAACTACAGCCTAAGCTTGTTTCATGGCTAACTTCTTCCGAGTTTTTCTTAGGGTTCCCGGCTCTCATTTGAGGGATTTAGAGTATATATGAACAGTTTTCTTTGTTTTGTGCGCTAATCATTGATGGGTTTGGCTACTCATAAGATACCTTGAAAGGCTTGAGGAGACCCATGCAAATCTGGACACGTCTTCTTTGCCCATCCGAAACCTTGTGCAATCTCCACGAGAGATCGATATCCAAAACCTGAACCGAAGTCCAAACACAATCAGAACATAACCGAAATGGAGATATCAAGCATCTGATCTACATTACGATATATGTTGGGAAGCATTTAGAACTGGTAAGCTCATCCAAAGTTAGATTTTGATTGTTTTCTCACCTTGATTAGTTCAGCTCTTCTCTGAGGATCGATACCCGCTACTCCAAATATCATTTTCTCCGCTGGAATATCCATTTGTATCGGAACTTCGAATCCTGCAAACGCCACATCGCGCCTCCACTGGAAAAGGAAACCTTTTGTCAGCAATTACAACACCTAGACGACGTACTACCGCCGAACATAATACTTGCCATTGACACCCAATTCCAATATAAGCGAAATTCAACAATCTGAAAGTATTTGCATTTAAAACAGCAAAGATTGAAACTTCATTCGGACAGAGAAAGATTCTATGACAGAGGTAAAACGAATTCTGGATTCAAGGCAAACCACTTGAATTTTGATTCTAAATCAGAACCAAGTTCAAGGATTTAAGATATTAAACGAGCAATCAGCTTCATTTTCGACCTCCGTCAGATTCAACAATTTCAATAAGAACCCTAAATTTCAAAATGAGTCACCAACGAATCTGAAAAATTCGCTTGCAATCTGAATCTAGCGTTGCAACAACATTGACATCCCAAAAATTAGTAACAGAACATCACGAACCTCCCCGCCCAGATAGCAAAGGTCCCCAGATGATGTCAAACCAGTGTCGTGAAACGCCGAGCGTCCAAGAACCCTAACCATGTGCGGCTCCACCATGTGCTTCCCTCCCAGTATCTTCAGAATCGTTGTTTTCCCTGTTCCCAAGTCCCGATCCCATCCAATTTCGGAATTTTCATACACATGGGTAACAAATAAGATTCAAAATAGAGGCTTTTCACTTACCCGCTCCATTCGATCCGACGAGGAGGCACCGATCACCAGAGTTGAGCGTCAGAGAGAAATCATCGATGAGAGGCTTCGATCCCGGCGGAGGATGGCCATCGATTCCAGGATATGTGAACCGAAGTCCAGAGATCTCCACCGTCGGGTTCGGCTTATCTTCTTCCTTCACCGCCATTTTCGTCCGAAGTACCAAAGAAGCTTCGCTTCTTTCTCCTTCTTATACTTTTTCTTCAGCTGAAATGGTTTGGTAGGAGCAGTCGTTTGGTAAACAGGTCCACGTGGTGCTATATGAGACGCTAATGTCCATATCTGTCTTCCTCAAACGACAGCGTTTTGATGGAGAGTGTGAAGATTGTCGACGTGGCGCAATGGCGCACCTTCAATTAGAACGGCGTCGTATTGGAGAATGAGGCTGAAATAATATATTTTTTTCTTTCAGATCAAAATTAGGGGTTAAAAAAAAAAACAAGAAAACTCGTTTGATTTTCTCCGTGGTTCGTCGTATTTGGTCTTTCGGGTGGATCCCTCGATCGGAAATTTCTCATTCATGGCAGCGATTTACAGTCTTTACATTATCAACAAATCTGGTGGTTTGATATTCTACAAGGTACGAATCTCCTTCTCTTCACTCGGATTCCTTTGTTAGGCTTGTGGCTACTTACTGTACTGAAGCCGACGACCTCGGTGTTGATGTGAATTTCATCGTGCTTGATCCATTTGGTTACTGAGAAAGCGTGGGTTTTGAGACGATTCGATTCGCTCTCTGTTTCATGAATATGTGAATTGAATGCTAGGAATTGGGCATTAATTTCCTCAATTTAGCTTCCGAGAAAATCGAAGAACAGAAAGTTGTAAGATTTACAGAGTTTAGGATCCGTGACATTGAGGTGAAAACGAAATGGTGGGAATTTTCCTGTTTGGTTTGTTTGGTTCCCGAGAAAGCGAAAGAGAAGAAACATAGATTTTCACAATGGGTCTTGACCCATCATGATCAAAGCCGTGGCAAAGCTCCACCTCGCAATTTCTCGTCTTTTCATGCTCGGCTTGAAGTGTTGTGTTTGAATTTGGAAACTTCAGGATTATGGATCAAAGGGGCGAATGGATACTAATGATAGCTTGAGAGTAGCCAGTTTATGGCATTCGATGCACGCTATTTCTCAGCAGCTATCCCCTGTTACCGGTTGTTCTGGAATCGAACTCCTTGAAGCCGACACCTTTGATCTCCATTGCTTCCAGTCTCTTACAGGTACTGATCTGATGCCATTCTCAGTTGTCACTGTTTCTTCATCGGATTTTCTCTGAATCTTCCGGAATCTTGGATGTGATTCTATCCAGGAACGAAGTTCTTTGTGGTTTGTGAGCCCGGAACTCCATACATGGAGAACCTCTTGAAGTACATATATGAGCTATATACTGATTACGTACTGAAGAATCCGTTCTACGAAATGGAGATGCCCATCCGGTGTGAGCTTTTCGACATCAACCTTACGCAGGCTGTTCAGAAAGACCGTGTCTCATTGTTAGGACGATGATCATCTTTCTTGGGGAGATTGCCTCTTGCCCTCTGAATTACTCTCGTGATCATCCATCTTGTTCTCTTTAAGTTCTTTCATGGGGAGATTGCCTGTTTTTTTTTTCGTGTGTTTTTTCCGTGAGGGGTTGCATTCACAGATTCTCGGTTATGGTTAATGCAATCATGATCATGTAAACGTTTGCAAGATCGAATACAAAAGCCTAGTTACATGTTCAAGAAGTCTTGTTCTCTCACTTTGCATTCCCAGGAAACTAGAAGCAGAGGCAAACACAGTCAAACAGAGAAAGAACTATCTGTACATTTCTAAAAACCCGAGAAAAATCCTGACCCTTGTGGAAGTTTCCCGGAGAGCTTCGATCCTAGAGTATCGAAGGCCGGGGATAATTCACCTTCTGAGGAACCCCTTTGTTATTACTACTAACGCCATTTGAATTCTGCTCCTTAGGGATGGCTGCTTTGGTTGAGTCTTTGTGGCTCTGAAGCTCTTCCAGTGTCTTGACAACATCGTTCATGCTCGGTCTTAGCTTTGCATCCACGGATAAACAGTCGAGTGCAAGTATCGCCACCTTATGTGCTCGGGTTAGTGAGTACTGACCTTGGAGACGTGGATCCATTACTCGTAGAACCCTTCGTCTGTTCGTCAAGTAGGGTTTCGCCCATTCCACGAGATTATGCTCTCCCACCGGCTGATTCTTGTCGATTGCTCGTCTTCCTGATAACATCTCGAGTAACACGACCCCGAAGCTGTATACATCGCTCTTCGCTGACAAATGACCTTTCCAAATGACAAAAACACAAGACTTCAATTAATTGCAATGAGTGGGTCAGTTGATGGGTGAGGGAATCTAATTTTGGATACCCAAAATTCGAGTACTCGGCCGCTGTGAGATCGAACACGGGTTCTTCGCCCACGAGAACTCGAGTTTGGGTTTTGTTCAGCGATTACCCGTACTCACGGGTAACCAAGCCAAGTGACAATGGGGAGAGAGGACGAGCAACCGATGGGCTTCGTCATTCGCTCTTCGGATCAAGACACGTCTCTCTTCACCCCGTTATAACTCTCTCTCCCTCTCCTCATCATCGTCTCACCTCGACACCTCGCTCAGTCACTCGGCTACCCCACAGGTATCCGAGCCTCTGTCGTACCTTGCAGATACTCGACCCCACGAGACTAATATCGGGTAGTTCAACCGAGAAACTCGAGGGATGAGGCCGAAATCAAATACACCAAGAAACTCGGATACCTGATCCGCGTCTAACCCTAATGCAAATCAATCTTGTAGACATGAATATACCTGTGGCTAGATACTCGGGAGCAGCATACCCTTGAGTTCCCATGACTCTAGTAGAGACATGGCTCTTGTCACCGGTCGGTCCATCTCTAGCCAACCCGAAATCCGAAAGTTTCGCGTTGTAATTCTGCGGATATAACAACAAAACAGTGAGACAAAAAAAATCCTCGGCTGCTTCATAACCCACCCGAGGAGGACTGACGATATTCATACCGAATCAAGCAGAATGTTGGAAGTTTTGAAGTCTCGGTATATAACTTGTGGCTGAGCGTTGTGAAGAAACGCGAGCCCTCTGGCCGCGCCAATGGTGATTTTCATCCGGGTGTTCCACGAAAGAGGCTGGAAGAACGTTCCTCCTGTTCCGAAATCCAAAGAAAGTCCATTAAAAACTCGTCGAGAAATGCATTCCTCGAGGAAGGTAAGAGAGACGAAACAACGGAAAATAGCTGCAACTTACTACGGAACAAGTGATTCTCGAGGCTACCACGAGGCATGAACTCGTAAACTAGAAGCCGATGCTCATCCTCTAAGCAATATCCGATCAATTTCACGAGGTTCGGATGATCCAGCTGACCCAAATAATTGATCTCAGCCTGTTTTTTCCCCCCACATTGACGACGGAAAAGATCATTTCCGTATCCAGAGAAACTTTACAGAACCACTCTACCATACAGATCAAGAACATTGAGATGGGTTCTTGAGAAATATGACAAGGAAACGGCAGGGTTGTGTGCACATATATATATATATATATATATATATATTATATTTATATAACTAACCAGCCATTCGCGGTGACCCTGGAAGCCTTCTTGGTTGAGCCTCTTCACGGCAATGACGATACCGGAACCCGGTTTTGAGGCGGAGAAGGAATTCTCGTCGATCCAGCCTTTGAAAACGGAACCGAATCCGCCTTCACCGACCACACTATCAGGTCTGAAATTCCTCGTGGCGGATTTCAGCTCGCTGAAACTGAAGTTCTTCAGATTCGGAGACTGCAGAATCTCCCCCTCGCTCCGAGGGTTATGGGAGAATGAAGTTGTTGACGAACTCTTGCTCCCATCTCTGCTCAAGAATCTTGAACTTAGCCCTACACAGACAGAACCAAACTATCATGACTCCATCTTATTTCAAGCATTAGATTCTAGGGAGAGAAGCAGAATTTACAGTATAATACTCTCATCAAGCTATACGGATTTGACACAGAAACGTGCTTACAAAGGACAATCTGATGAACCAATTGAGGAATAAAATTGAAGTTCACCGAATCTTTAACCTTGTCTGAACACGAGAACCCTCGAACTGAGAACATTACTATAAAAGAATATGACCCTAGAACCAACTCGAGAGTGATTGCCTGGTTCTGATATAATCTCTCAGTTCAACTCAGACAAACAGCACCAAATCTACAGAACTGTTTCAGCGCCAATGAACCAAATCCCACTGACAATGGAACAATCTTCCCACATCTGTCGGCAAAACAAAAGTCTCAACAACAAGATCCTTAAATCAAAAGCTTGAATTTTTTTTTTTGGTCTCAAACAAGTAAATTGGACCATAAAGGTGGATAGCCATTGAAAGAAACATCACAAGATATATCGCCTTCTTCCAATCTAAGATGAAAAAAAAAGTACTTATTTCTCTACTGAAGAACACAGGAGAAGAAGAAATTGAGCAGGACGTACATGTACTGGAAGAGATATCTGCTTTGACCCGATTGCTGAAACAAGCTCCCATGAAGAAGCGAGAACCTAATCACCAATTCTTTAACCCTTCAAAAGATTAGGGCTTTCTATGTGTAATAAAATACCCAGTTCCCAAACACTGCTCAAAGAGCTTTCTTAGTGAAAAGTTGGATCGAAAACAGGGAAAAAAACCCAGAACCCACGACGGGGAAGGGAAGTCTACGAGCAAGAATTACCGGAAAAGTAAACCGTGTTGGTCAAACTTTCTCTCCTTTCTTTAAAAATCTACTTTTGTATAGTGATGATATTGCTGGGGAAAGGGCTTTTTGTATTCGTTGTTTCCTTGCTCTTTCGGAAGAAGTTAGCCTTTTTGGACTTGTTCTTCGCCTTCTCTTCACTGCTCATCATTGACTTATCGTCCTTTCCCAAGACTGGGTCCCCATAACGAATCCCCCTTACCAAATAATTTTACCCATTTGTAAATTCAGGATCTTTGGTTTTACATTTGGTGGTACGAATGCATTTATGTTTTTTCCCCTCAAAATCAAAATGACCAAAGAAAGAGAAGCTTCTTTCTTCTTTTTTTTCCTTTTGAAAACCTTTTGTCTTTGACAGTTTCTTTTAGAATAAATTTACTTTTAACTATGGAACCAAAGATACTTCCTATTTCATTTATCACTAACAATCATATGATATATACAAGACTTTAATAACCCTTGGACAAAATTAATCAATAACATAGTATCTAAGCTGAAACAATTATGATCCAATACAGAGCAAAAGAAGGTAACTTGAAAGCAGTCTTGAAACTTTCCCTTTATGGAAAACCAATCGGAAACTCAGACAGCTGCAAATGAAGCAGAGTTCCCATGTCTCACATAATAAAACCCCCAAAAAGACCATAAAGAATCAATTACCAAATCTTCATCACCAAGTAGTAGTTTTGTACATAAATAATTGGTTAGAAGTAAACAAAAATATAATCTCTAACCTAACCAAGCCTTCCCCATTTGCAGGAAATGCAGGAAAATCAGCAAAAAAGAAAGAATAGTTGTCTGTGTATCTGAGGAGTGTGTGTGCATTCTTGGTTACTGTGTCAGATGAAGAAGAATCGAAAACCCAGTTTTGTCACCTCTCCAAGAGCTCGGAGAAAGAGAATGAAGAGACTTTTCATGATGGTGATTTCCATCTATGCAAAAGAATGAAGATTTCTGCTTTGAAGGGAAGAAAGTTCCTTCTAACAATGAGATTTGGTCTCCCCATCTGACTTATCCTTCTCAAATGTAACCTCAGATGATTTGGTTTCATCACCAGGTTTCTCTTTCTCAGACATAAACTCAAGCTGTCTCGATCTGAAGACTGCTGTTCTTTTGGGCCTTAGCCGATATGGGGGAGACAAATTGTAAGCACTGCCACCATTTGACCCGAGGTTTTCTTTATCTTGACAATCATCGGTCCTCTCTGGCAAGTCTTCTCTCCGAGCTGGAGACTTCCCTGAACTATCTTCAGGGTTTTCCTTTCTATCAGTCTCCTTAGCTCCACTGCTGGCATCTGTTTTCCCGATGCTATTATCCTCTCGTTTCTCTGTAGAAATTTTCCGTCTTTTCCTAAAGATAGAGGGTGTGTTTGGATAAGTCTTAGCAGCCTCTCTCAGGAAAGATTCAGGGCTTCTTGTAGCTAAACTACTACCCTTCATACAAGGTGGAGTGAAGAAGCTAACTGGTGATGTACCGGGACAGCAACCACATTCATGCGAATGCCCATACAAACGTTGGAAATCCGCTTCTGATGGCAAGTGAAAGTCAATAGGAGGAGCCTTATAGTACAGCAAACCATGCTTTGGAGTTCCAAATCTGTCTCCATTCTCTGTAAATGACTCGAAATTTCGGAGTTGAGGCTTGTTCTCCACAGCTGGAGAGCAAGCGTACCCATTAAGACAGGTTTTTGATGAAGCAGCTGCTTCTTCAAGCGGAGGAGCTGAAGAATTGACATGGTGGTCTCTTCCATCTTCATCTGATTTGTTCATATCTGTAGCCCCGGAAGAAGTTTGGGCAACTGAATCAGAATCCTTGTTTTGACAAGAAGATGAAGGCTTAGTAGTAGCACTAGACTGCTTGGAATCTTGGGCAGTGTCAGGAACACAATTGGGAAAGCCATCCAAGAAAAAATCTAACTTTTTCTTCAATGAACTGTTCCAGTGGTTCTTTATCGCATTATCAGTCCTGCACGAGAGTCAAGCATATTATTTTTTTCGTTAAATCAAAGGCATTAGAGTTATGAATATAGAATGGCATTATATAAAACAAAGTACTTTCAGCTCTATCTGTGCTTTGATCAATTTGTCGTTGCATTTCCGTAAATAATGCAACACTAAACTATGAAAAGAAAAGGTTTATGATAGCCAGTGATTAATTCTGGAAGCTTTGCTGAATGATTATGATTCAAAGAATCTCATTATGCAAAAATGATTTCCTCAGTCCAATATCGTCTAGTTCCTACTTAAGTCTCGACAAGAAAGCATACCTGCCGGGTAAGCCTTTAGCTATTTCGGCCCATTTGTTGCCATGTCTTCGATGGGCATTCACAAGAGCTACTTCTTCTTCTTCGGTCCATGCATCCTTTTTAATACAAGGATTCAAATGGTTGTGCCACCTGAAAATAAGCCAGGCCATGTACTCAGATCCAAAACACATTGACGTTTCTCTATTCTCCAAAGGTAGATTATCAAATTCTTACTCCCAATATCAGGAAATGCTTGTTCATATAAATTACCTTTCACGGCATTGCTTCCCTATACGACCTGGTAAAGACCTGGCAATAACAGACCATTTCGTAGGCCCGAATTCTTTAACAAGTTCTATAATTTTATCATCCTCCTGCAAGAGGGGAGAAGAAATGAATATTAAGCCATCGAATTTCACATAAAATCAACACCAAAAAAAATCAGAAACAACAAAAACCTCTTGAGTCCAGGGCCCTTTAACTAGCTGTGGATTAAGTACTTTCTGCCACCGGTGCAGACACTGAACCTCTGTTCTATCCTGGAAGAATTCCGCTGCAAATAAAAAACATACACGGATTCAACCCAAGACACAAAATATTTTGAACTCGTGTATGTTCAAACCCGATCAAATTTATCTTATGAGACTATGCCACTTGATTCTCAGCAAAGATAAAACTATGGAACTAATAGGAGCATCAATATGAAGTAGTCATTTTCAGGAATCGACTAGAACAGTTTAGGACAAGATTTGAGCTTGGGAATCCCAAACCCTATAAGTGATTTACACAGTTTCCAATTTTAACCGTTAAAGAAGGCCATTAATTCGAGGCATCAGCGGTAACACCACTGGCTCCACAATTCCTGTAAGTAGATTTTGAAAAAGAAACAAACCTATTTTCTTCCAGCTCCTCCCCTTATACATTGTAACAGCTGTTCTCAGCGTATCATCCTGCAATATTTGTAGAATAACTCTTATAATTCTACGAATTACAAACCAAATACAAGTGACAGAAACCAAAATAAGACTAGTAATATTATCGTCTTGGCGTGTTTAATTAATAACTTATACGATCAAAAGATACATACACGGTCGAATGAGATTGTATATAGCAGTTTCATTACCACATGTTATGGTCCTTAGCAAGTAAATGGAACCAAGAATCAAGCACAGAATAGAAGGAAAGAATCACAAACCTCCTCAGGAGTCCAGCCACCTTTTGCTCGTCTTATAGGTCCAGTAGGCCTCCTGCAAAATGCAAATTAGAGAGGTGGATCTTGTAAGAAAAAAGAAACAATTGCAAAATCAAGTCTTGATGCACGGGTTCGGCATGAAGCTTCGGAAGAATCTTGCAAAATTCACAGCTGAATTTAGATACTCTATGAAGTTATATGAATTGGAAAGGAATCGACTCTGATGATACCCAGGTGTTGGAGATGCTGTGACAGGACTTGCAACTACAGTTGACTTGAGGAGACTATTGCCACTGCCTTCTGACACAGACGAGCTCGAAGCAGCTGTTAACTGCTTGTTTTCCATCCACTGATCCTCAATTCTTCTCACTTCACCAGTCTCCTCCTACAAAACCATCTCCATGAATGAAAGGAAAAAAAATCAAATTTCCATAAGAACCACGCTTATAACCCAAAAAGATTCACCAACGGCAAACCCCCAAACGAGAAACCAATCAAAATCAACAAACCCTAGAAAACCCATAGCCGCAAAACACGAAGCGAACTCAACCTAGATCTCAAAATCAAGAATTTAGCAAACAATTTAATACCCTCAAACAAAAAAAAACTAGGGTTTCTATTAATTCTAGTAACAAAAGTCAATAAGACCCTTTTTTTCTTTTGGAATCGTAAATCAGACCCAACAACCGCGAACTAAATGAGAGATAGTAGAAGAAAACGACAATCCGATCCCAAGAACAACAAGCCGAATCAGATTCGAGGCAAAACCGACCTCTTCCCCTGAATAAGCAGCTGGATTTGAACTGCAGCTCATCCGGATAGACAGAATTAAGATCTCGCGAACAGAAGAAGGAAACGTTATAAACCAAAACTTTCTTCGAAAAACACTTTGTCCGTTGAACCAGAGGGAGAGAAGACTGATAGAAAACGAGAAGAAATATTAAACAAAAGAATGTTAACACTACTACTATTATAACGAATACTTCCTTCTTCCACCGCCGTCTCCGTTAACTTAACTCTCCTCTTCAACCTCTTCCCTGAACCGGCGGTCTATTTAACAAACCTAACCGGCCTTCCAACCGAACCAAACTGGGAAATCTTTCTCGTTTAGTAAATCTTTATTTGACCTTATCTCTTCCATTTATTTTGTTACACATCAAATTTATAATATATGTAATGAAGTAGAGCATAGCATCGTAAAATTATTAATACAATTTTCTTTAAAATTATTTGACTATATTACAGATAAATATGTGGTCTTATATAACAATTCAATTAAATTCTTCCAACTTTCTTTTAGTTATAGATATATTATCTTTCTACTATAATTTTATCGATATTACATAAAAAAAACTCTATATTGTTATCTTTAACATTTGAATTCATTCTAGTTATATATAAAATCATATATCGTTTTATGTGCTAAAGTTTGTAGTATATAATGAAAAATAATTCTATATTAGTTCTATCTTTTTAAACATGTTATTCAATTTTCTAGAACCCAAAAACTTTTCATTTTGGTCCATTCCAATAATAGTAATAATAATAAGAGGTTGAACCGGAAGTTTCGGTTAGTTCGGCAAAAAAACACCGGTTACGTTAATCAAGGACCCGTCAATGGGGGTGGGAGGAGAGGAAGGCGAAGGCGTGAAAAAAAAAACCCTAGAGGACTTAACGGACGTTAACGGGAGAGGATTAACGTTGGGGAGCAAATGTTTGAACCTCAAACGGCACTATTCGCTGATGCGTTGACGATCGTACGTACACGTAGGCAGAGGCAAACGCTCCCGGGAGATTCCGGACCGTCGGATCGTCAGGGGTAATTTATTTATCAAAGGGTTTAATCGTAATTTCAGGAAGAGAACCGTCCGATCGAAAGAAATCAACGGCTCAGAATATCCTCCGTCATAATCGTTCATATCATCACAGATTCTTTGTGGGCTCAGAAAAAAGCCCAAAGAACCGAAACCATTAAAAAGGCCTTGGAATCTCGCCGTGTTTCTCACGCACATCAAGACAGTTTCTATATCATTTTTTTGGACGTTTTGATCAAATCTACTAGTTTTGAATAGAATTCACGCACGCGCCCATTGCACAATGGGTGGTCCGCATATAAACGTGTGCATTGGAGATTGTGCGTCCGTCTCAGGTAAGTGGCCGGGCGAGTTCTTGAATCGTCTTCTGTGGTTACGACACCTCCTCCTTGTCCGTAATCTCTCTCTCTCTCTCTCTCTCTCTTCCATTCGGCTTCTAACCTTAATTGCAATCTATGGAGAAGTTTAGATATAAACAAACTTTTAGTGTTTAGGATTTTACTATCAAACAAAATAAGAATATTTACGGAATTGAAATGGTTGTTCCACTGTACAAATTGAAAAAGGGTAATTTTTAGATATTTTTGTGCGACAGGCAACAAAGGAGCAAACTTTAGTTATCTATATATATATATATATATTTGCGTGTGTGTAGTATTACACGGCTTACATCGGCATGAACGAAAGTTCTTATTTACGACACATAAGAGCCAAACCGAAAAAAGGACACCGCCATTAGAGCTATTACAAAGCATACATCGTATTATTATATGATCATATCTTGAGGCCTTTCATTTGCAAGTGCAAGGGTTGCATTGGCAGTCGGAACCGCACTTGCATCCTCCGTTCTCGCCGGAGGCCTCTCCGTACTCTGCCTTCATCTCCGGAGCAACGCCGAGGACGAGGGTCTCCGCGGTGGTTGTGCTCTCGCCGGAGAATCCCAAGTCTGGATACATTTTGCTTCTACGCAACGCAAGGAAACGACAACGATTACGTTAGAATCGGTGATTTGTGGTCTCAAATGATGTCCCCACAATGATTTTCACAGCGGAAAGTGCAGATCAAGTGAAAATTCAACATGCCGACACCCCAAACATTCAAACAATAACGAAAAATCAATTTGATTTCAGTGAAGGAACTCATCAAGATCAACGAGCGAACGCAAATTTCAAACAGAACGCGATGTATCCAGAAATCGCTCAAAATGTTCACAGTAGATAATCTCAAGAATCCAACGCCGAAGATATGCATATCCCCGGGAACGAGAGAACCTCAGGAAACACGATAAATCATCGCATGAATCAGATCGCAGCGGAAAAACAACGATTTTCTCGAGAAACAAACAAAGGGAAAATCAGAGAGCGACAAAGCTTACCCTCCGCAGCCGTTGCCGCACTTGCAGTCAGATCCGCAACCGCAGTTTCCTCCGCAGCTAGACATTTTCTCGAGAAAACTCACAAAGCAATAAAACCCAGAGAAAATTGACGAACAAAAACACACTTCCCTGAGGGATAAGGGAGAGAGAGCTTTCCGATTTATAGGCCAATGGAGAGATATCAACCGTCCACGTGTCATGATCCCGCTACAATCTTATCTTGTAAATAGTCGGTCAATGATTGATATGCAATTACGTATTTACCCTTCTAACGTTCAATTCTCGAACGGCATCGTTCTGGTACTTTCTAGAGCATACAGCCGCTTCGTGTCGGGCGCACTCTAATCACCGTCCGATCTGAACCAATTGTCATCAGATTTCAGTCAACCTTTGAGATATGCACGTAAATAGAGAAATCTGCGTTGGGCAAGCATATTCGGAGATATATGGGAAAATAAATTTAAAAAAACGTATTACGTTCGAAAAAGGGAAAATTGCCAATTTGAATGGTTTTTATTTGGTAACCAGTACGAATACGATACGGTATACGTATACCATGTGAAGAAAATAATTTTTATTTGTGAGAGAAAATATATCGACTTTATCAAAAAAAAATATATATCGAATAAATGGACGCGAGTTAGATGGGGCCCTACAGAAGAAGGAGGCCTACTTTTAAAGGTGGTGGGCCCATTATCGGCCTTGTCCATCCGATGTGGGAGCTCGAATCTCTCTCCTTTTCAATTTTTTAATACTTTCCGCGTCCAATGAGCGGAGACGGAAGATTCTTCCAAACCCTCTTTTTGATTGCAAAACTTCTGGCCTCTTCAAAGAACTGACTTTTCGTAAATTAACTACCGTTGTTACCGCCAATCCACCGTTTTCGTTGTGTGTTGTTATGACCTTTCTGAGGAAGAAATTAAGACGAAAAAAAAAATAAAAATATATGATAAATCGCCCACCGTGGGGCTCGAACCCACGACCACAAGGTTAAGAGCCTTGCGCTCTACCAACTGAGCTAGACGGGCTTTGATGATTGGGGTATCAAATGAATTTACATATATTCAAAATACCCCGCCCAATTTTAAAAAGTGAAATATTTAAATGACCTCCAAAGTTATCATTCCTCGCGTGATTACCACCACAACTTTATAAATGTTCAAATATACCCTTTTAACTTAAAAACGACTCCATACCATTTGAATGAAGACGACCCATGTGAAAGTTCTTCTTTCACACGTTCGAGTTTGTAGCAAAATCTTAATGACGAAAAAAAAAAATCATGAGATTTCACAAAAGCAAAAAGCTTGGTGGTTTCAAGCAAATATATATATATATACCACATAGAAGTGTGAGGATGTCTAGAGTTGTACAACTGTCTGCATCAGAATTTTGGCAGTCTTGGCAACAAAACAATTCATTTTAATTATTTTAAATTACAGATTTATATATTTCTTTAAAAGAATTTGAAACATACACTCTTTGACATATAAAAGGGCATATATATTTATATAGCAGTTATTTTAGATGGGGGAATACAAAAAAAAAGTTTCAATGGCATGGTTATGTATCCAAAAGACAAACAAACTTTGAATGCTTTAGTGTGAGGAAGAAGAAGACAAACAGAAGATGTCCAAAACAAAAGGGATTGACCACCACTATAAGCCCCATATATGTTCTAATTAGGATCCACACTGCTAAAAGCCATTATCTTTTCAAACAAAACAAAAAGGCCTTAGGAATCACACCATCTAAGCTGTAATTTCATTTAGAGTCTCTAAACCCTGATCCCAATCATATTTTATTATATATACAGTTATGTTTTCCTACTAAGATACATGTGTCGCATGTATATATTATCAATTGTATATACGTATACGTATGTATTTTACGAGGATGAATAGTTATTGGTTCTCATCATTATATTGGGTGAACCCAAGGAAAAAAAGAAGAAGAATATATATGGTCCCAAAAATGGCATGTGGGTTTAGTTCAATATGTCTAGAAAAAATCGGATGCATCATATATAAAGTTATTTAATTTTTAATTATCTCCATGTGTAAAAAGCACACAACCTTTTAAAATACGCTTCCACAATTATATATATAGTTATATATTATTGGGTATTTATATTATTATATTATTCCAAGAAATAGTAATATTATAACAAAAAAAATGTTCAATACTTTGATATATGAACCGTTTCGAAGTGTATCTTGAAATGTCCACAACATAATATTATCACATTTATAAAAAAAACATTATATTATTATAGCATGCATATATATATATATATATATATACACGGCATTTTATAAACAGGAGATATTAGGAGCTAAAAAGAAATTAGTAATTACAAAATATGAGAGATGGATGGGGGCCATGATGATAAACCATGTGCTTTGGCATCACCATCCACGTGTTGTAGCAATCTCTCTTTATCATCGTTAACCATTTTAATTACTCATTTAATCCGTACTTAATCCCTCCTAATTACACTCTCTCTCTTGATCGTCTACCTCCAAAACCCAGCGTTTCATGTGCACGCTCACCTTCTCCGTATCTGATTGGTCCGTGTAAACCACGCGCTAATCAAAAGCAGTGGGTGTCGGCTTCTAACATCTTCGAAAAGAGCACGAGATATCGTGGGTTTAGCCTTTTGTCTCATCGATTTATCATATCGTTGAATGTATGTGTTGTCGTGAAGTCATTATTATTTTTCAGCATAATTTAAATTTTATACACCGCGGTTCGGCATATGAAACTTTGATTAGAAATATATATAATTTGTTTTATAATATGCGGAAATCGTATCCTCATTTTTCTCCTTGAAAAAATATGTCCCAAAATTAAAACGGACTTATTTAAACATATATTTATCATCTTTAAAAATATGTTTTCCTAAAAATAGAAACTATTCAACCAATCATATATTTGTATTAGTTTGGTAACATTGTTTATGTATATTGACTTCGATGTAAATCGTTTTTACTTTTAATCGGAGTATTTAAATGCATAAGCATCTAAAATTCGAAATAAAAATTACAAATACGAATTTAACTATAAAATTATGGATGTTTGATATTTTGGTATATCCATCATCATTTAGAGCATGTTAATTCTATTTATTTGTTGGATATGTCAATGAACGGATAATGTTTTATGAAATATTAATCTTAATCAACGGACAGATTTAATTCGATTACATGATTGAATTGGATAAGATTCAAAATATAACGATAATTAATATATATATATATATATATATATAATGACTAACTTTTGAAAAGGATCACACATATATTACCTTGAGAATAATTTGTTCGTAGATAAAAACATTATTTAATTAGAATTGGATGGTTGTGGTCGTCGTTAAGTAGAGAGGAATGGGAAGATTTACCAAACCCAAAGGCCTCTGCATTGAGGAATCCAAAGTCACGAACAAGCCTTTTAAAAAAGTGTTGCAAATTGTATAAAATTAATTATTTGAAATAATAACGAGCGTAAATTAATAAATGGGAGAAAATGACACTTGCGGATGATCAACACTGCATTACTATATATTGCACGTGAAAGGTTGCGTCCAAAATTTAAAAACCTCGATTTAAGGGGATGTGATAGGTTAGTTACGTAAATTTTATTTTGATTATTATTTAGATATAATTTAAATAATTTAATTATGTTTTGGTATAATATTAAATTGTAAATATAGATCATCAAGTGTTTATACATACATATAGTTCGATATATATGTGGTTTAGCATATTTTGAATAAATAGGGTGGTTCGAATATATTAACGATAAAATACTAATATATATATATATATATATTACGTGTATCATTGGATATAACTATGATTTAATCATTGAATTAGACTTGGAATAATGTCCCCATCAACAACAACCACGTATAATATAGTGAATTAACGCTTCCTATAGAAATCAAGCCTATATGCATATAGATTTATAGAATCACATATTTTTTTAAATCTAAAATAATTAGTAAATACATATAAATATAAAATTAATTAGGAAGACAAATATGTATGATGCAAATAATTAAATTAATACGAAGTCAAATGTAGTTGGTGCCTTATATTACTTGCGTGCACGATAACGAAAGCACCTGAGACAATTAATTACTCACGAGAAATCGAAGATTTTAAAGAGAAGGTCTCAAAATATCGCGAAACACTGGTCCCCATGCAAGCAAAGGCACGTGCGTGGATTTGCATCAAAGTCCGTGGAGAATTTTTACCCCTTATTATTAAATCAACTTTTCTTCATGATATATATATATATATATATATAATGAATAATTATACAATGTATGATATTTTTTAAAAAATAAAAAATATCAATATTTTTAATCGTAATATCTGTTTTTTAAGTGAATCATATATATATATATATACTAATTTAGAAATTCATGTTTTCCTGTGGTATTTTGCACGAGTGGAAAAATCGGAGAAATTTATGTAATTTATTTTTTACTGAATTATTCAATAGTATAATGAATGTTTAATTAATAATGGAATGAAATTTAATGCCATATAGTTAGCGAATTTCGGGTTTATTAAGTCCGACAAACAATTATAACTGGTCTCATTAAAATTTTAGAAGCTTAGCTGCATATTGAAAATGGTTCTAAGTTGTAACCGTAATGGACATTGGAAAATTTGCCCGGTTCTTCTTTTTAGTACGTGGAATTTTGGTCGGTTCAAATGATTAAATAACCAAATATGAAAAATTCTTCATTAAGCACAAGTGTTTACATCACCCATGAATCGAACGATATATATTTTAACCGATGGTAATTACCATGGTAAATATTATTTTTTCTCACACATGCATGACCGTGACAACATATAATAATGTACCACATGCATAAAACATCACATTTTTTTTTGTAATTTTACATAAATTATGATGATACTAATTAATTTTTACATAAAAACATTTTAGGAATTAAGCTTACTTGTGTCGTCTTATATTAGCCACATACATATTCACACACACATGCATACATATATGTATATATTAACGGCCGTAAAATAATAAAATACAAAAAAAATCTATCCCGCCACATGAGGGACAGATCACTAGTTAGTTGAAATGGAGGCTTTCAAACTTCGGATCCAATGCACGTAATCTCTCTCTCTCTCTCTCTCTCTCTCTCTCTCAGCAATGGCTGAGTTGTGTTGCGTCAAGGAGATGGAAGATGACGTGGAGACCCGATTACCGACCCGACCCGGATTGGAAATTCCGGCTGATCAAGAAGATCCGGCGGTCCAGAACGACAGAGGAAACGGCGGGTGCAAGACCCCGACGTCGTCGGGTCACAAGATTCCGGCGATGAGAAAGTGCCCTCCAGCCCCGAGAAAACCGAAACCAAACCGGCCGGTCAAGAGGAAATTAACGTCGGAGAAAGGAAACCGGGTTCCAATCGATCTGAGCCGTGAGATCGAGTTATTCTTCGAGGATATGGACCGTCGGATCAAGAAATCCCGGAGACACGAGAAAGGAGAGGGAGAGTATTAATTGGTGGCAATTGAGGTGAAATTTTCAGCTTTGGTTAATAATTTATATAATCGCTTTTATGTATAATTAATTAGTTGCAGCTGAGAAAATAATTATTGAAAACGAAAATCAAGCTGTAATTAGTGGCTGATAATCAATAAGGTTTTTCTATTGATAGACTTTGTATTAAAATTCATGTATTGCTGGTTATTAAATCTTATAATCTCTTATTTGCAATTTTTTTGGTTATATATATATATATATATATATGTGTGTGCGTGTGTGTATGCATGAGGGGAATTCAACCATTGAAATGCAAAATACAAAGAGTTTTTTCCTGGAATTGTTAGAATTTTCTTCATATTTTGGTCAGCTATATAAATTATTTGATTTTTACATAATTTTATAACCTAAGTCATATTCTACGGTAGATAATACTAAAAGACTAAATTCATCTTTAAAGACTTTTTTGGCCAAAGAAATTGCATTATCGTCGTTTAATGATTATTAAATTATCAATATATTTTTTTTTAAAAAAAAACGAGGTTAGATTTCCATTGGAAGCCAACATCCTTCTGAATGGATCATACGCTTCCTTATCGATGGAGAGAAGGATAAAAAGAATATATAAAATACATTTAACAATCTCTAACAAAATCTGTTCATATTTTTATTAGGACAACAGTACACACATCTACCAAGAAGAATGTAAACAAAAAACAATTACTTTATACAATTATATACTTAGATACTACCTTTGGTAGTTATAAATATGCAAAAAATATATTATGGGTTATTATGAAAATGTTGGAACCTTAATAAAAATCGATATACCAAATCAAGGCCCATAATGGATTGTTTCCAAGTTAAATTTTATGATATAATTAAAATAAATATATGTTCGTTCGAAGTAATACCAAACCATACCGAAAACTAAAAAATAAATTATACCAAACCAAATTTGCATCTACAGGATTAAAAATAAAAGGTAAAAAAAATGAAATATACACAAGCGCGCGCGCACACACAATGCGGTAAAATATAAATGTGTGTAAATATGACACTTTTAAAATTGGGTTTGTTTGCAAATGGGCTACTAGAAAATTATATTAATGGGCTTTTTATATGGACTGAGTTCGTCAAAGCCCAGAGCCTGACTTTGGAGAAAAGCCTATGACGTGTAACTTCGTGAACCGTCAGATCTGAAGGAGAAAAAGGCGTCTAAACTAAACATCATTTTGACGGTTGGGATCTCCGTCTCCTTGTTTCTCTCCTTGCCCTCCGAAAAAAATTTCACAACCGAAACGGACCCAAAAGAAAAAAACTCGAACGAAATTTGAATTTCGAGCAGGAAAGAAATCAGCTGGAGGTTTCGTGAAGTGGCTTGGACCCATCGGAAGAAGACGATGACGATGAATTGGGCGGGATTGGGTGACGTGGAGGACGACGAGGACGACCGTTTCTTCGAGAGCTCCGATCGGCTCTCCACTGTTGTTCCAGCGGATTTCGCGTCTTCTTCCGACGAGGATGAAAATTTCGACGATTGTCGGATCTCGTTCTCCTCCGCTGTCTCCTCCGTCTCGCGCGTCCCTTCCGCGGTCGAGATGTCGCCGGATTACGATATCTGGATGGCGGCGCCAGGGTCCGTGAGGGAGCGGCGTCGACGTCTTCTCAACGGAATGGGGCTCGAGTCTAAGAAGAATATGATCGGCGCTGTCTCCATCCAGCGAGTGGTTTCTACCAAACCGGCGGCGACGGTGGAGCTCGGTGATCGCGGACTAATCAGAAGCGTTACAGAAGCGAAGAAAGAGGGGCATGATCAGCAGCCTCCGGTGGATCAACGCATTGATCGGTCTCCGGCAATGCCGGTTCTGCTCATACGATCGAGATCCCATTCCGACATCGAGGTGAATTCTGATGATAAATCGAGGAAGGAGGAGATGTTAGGGAAGACATCGAAGTCGCGCCTCACCAGAACATCGTCAATGATTGCGGCGCCGTGCGCGAGAATTTGTCCGTACTACACTCAGGCGAGAGCGTTGGCAACCGACGCACCAATCGGGCCGTCCACAGCCCAACGCGGCGGCGGGTTTCTCTCTTCAGTCATATCGAAAACTCGGTAGAGTTCGTTGTGAAGGAGCATGGTGAGGATGGAATGTGGAATCGACTCAGCGACCTGCAGACCGGTAAGCAATTGACAATGGAAGAATTCGAGAAAAGCGTTGGTTATTCACCTGTTGTTAAGGAACTTATGCGGCGAGAAGATGTAACGTCGACAGTAGATTTGAGTAAAATCAATTCGTATGTGTCAAAGAGCTTGAGGATAAGCAAGAAGACAGGGGCTGCTCTGTTGAAGAACATAAAGGATGTTGCCCATTCTATGAGCTTGAGGGTTTCGGAGAAGGAAGCTAGCGGAAACGCCAATGGACCCAACAGCCCGAAAGCGGCAGAGCATAAACATGGTAAGAGCAATGACCAGTCGAATCAATGGGTGAAAGTGAGGCAGTTGGGGAAATCGCATAAAGAACTAAGTGCTCTGCATCTGTGCCAAGAGTTTCAAGCCCATAAGGGAGCTATTTGGACCATGAAGTTCAGCTTAGATGCTCACTGGTTAGCCAGTGCCGGGGAAGACCGCACAGTTCAAGTGTGGGAGGTACAGGAATGCGAAATCATGTCGATGAATGAAGGAAACTTGACACCTCTTCATCCTTCCATGTGTGGTTCACCGGATAGGTCGCCTGCTACTGAAGATATTTCAACAATGACATCAGATAGGAAGAAGAAAGGGAAAAATTCATCAGCCAAGAAAGGAAATCAGATCCCAGAGTATGTCCATGTTCCTGAAACTGTCTTCTCCTTGTCGGATAAGCCTATATGCTCTCTTTCTGGCCACTTGGATGATGTTTTGGATTTGTCCTGGTCCCGTTCTCAGGTTAGATTCTCTTCCTCTTAGCTCTGTCTCTAATGCAAATAGCCAGTGATTCTCTAAGAAGTAATCTACTCTCTCAAATTTCTACAGCAATTGCTTTCATCATCCATGGACAAAACTGTGAGATTATGGGATATTGAAACTCAAAGTTGTTTGAAACTGTTTGCACACAATGACTACGGTAAATGCGACGATAACCCGCTTGAACATTTTCCCTCATCGATGTAAAATCAGTAAAAATTTGACGTCGGGTACCATTTGTCAGTGACTTGTATACAGTTCAATCCCCTCGATGAAGATTATTTCATCAGTGGCTCCCTTGACGCCAAGATTCGAATATGGAACATACCTAATCGTCAAGTTGTAGAGTGGTGCGATATTAACGAAATGGTCACTGCTGTTTGTTATTCTCCCGACGCCCAGGTACATATTTTTCTCGCATATTCCAGTGATTTGATGAATCAAATCTAAACAATACGTAATATCATTTATAATTTTACGAATCTTCTCTACATTTCTGATATTGATGAGCTAGTTTTGATATCTTGATGTTCTTTTCGGTTTAAACAAGCGAAGGCCACATTTGTTGGTTCACACAAAGGAAATGGTCGGCTATACAGTGCAGAAGGTGCGGCTTTACGTCTAAGTTCATTTCCAAGCTCGAACTCTTCATATATTTACGAGGGTTCTCTTCTGATGAACAGATTGCAAGCTAGAACAGACAAATCAGATCGATATGCAATACAAGAAGAAGGCTCAAGCGAAAAAAATTACAGGATTCCAGGTTTTTAACTCCTACTTTGAATGCTCATTCTTGTTTTCGCAAAGATTGTAATCATCCTCGAATTCCAATGAACAGTTTTCCCCAATTAACCCATCAGAAGTTCTCGTCACTTCCGCCGACTCTCGCGTTCGGATTTTCGACGGGACTGATCTTGTTCACAAATTCAAAGGTACCTTACAATCCCTCTTCCATTCCACGTCCAAGAATCAATATTTTACGGAGTTACTTCTTACCTTCTTCGACCTGTGCCAAGGTTTCAGAAACACCAGCAGCCAAATCACAGCTTCTTATACTCTAGACGCCAAATACATTGTATCTGCAAGCGAAGACGCTCAGGTTTATGTCTGGAGACATGAGGATCGACGGCCAGGAATCACCGGAAGAAGAACAGTTCCAACCACTGCTTCATACGAAAGCTTCACATGTAAGGATGTCTCGGTGGCAATCCCATGGCACGGCGCTGTAAAAGGCGAACCACCTCCTCCTCCCGCCGCACAAATTCACGGCAAGAAAAACCCGAGAAAAGCCTCGGTTGCACCCGCGAAAGAGGAAACCAACGGGAAAAGACCCGGCCTCCCTCCGCTTCCCAAGAAAAACAATGATTTCGTAACTGTTGATGCCGCTCAAGAACATCCTCAAGAGGATGAAACCTCGACGCAGATTTCAGGTAACGAGGCGGAGAACCCGGTCGGGGATCATTCGTCTTTGTCGTCTATATCGTCGAGGATTTCTTCTTGGTCTTGGTTCGATGGAAGTGGCGGACATGGTTCACACCCCGTCCAGCCGACGGCTTGGGGAATGGTGATCGTGACCGCCACTCTTGGCGGCCAAATCCGAGCTTACCAGAATTTCGGGGTCCCCCGACGGATCAGCCGCCAGAGCTCTCTGTTTTCGTACTCGATGCATGACTAACAATGATACTGTAGGAATAGGAGTGGACATTTCGTTTTTAAAAATTTTATATCGGTTAGTTTTTACATAAGGTCGGGTTCAAATGAATTTTTGTTTTTTTAAAATTTTATATTTGAATTGATTTTTGTTTTAGATTAAGAAAAACACACCTAAACGATTTTTACATTGAATTTGATTCGACTATCGGGATAGCTTATTATATCCTGTTGTAGTTTACATGCAAATAAGTAAAAATTGCTGCAAGTTACCAAAAAAAAAAAGTAAAAAATGATGTAAGGCTTCACTTTATAAAATTTGAGAGAAAAATAAATATAACGGTCCATTAGACAACGCCGTTTTAGGCCTAGCGGTCCCATAAAGGTAATAAGCAAGAGAATGAAGGGTAAAATTGGAAAAGCATCAAAGACAGAGTAAAATCATTCGTAATAACTAAAACCCTAAAAAAAAAACTCTCGTTTGGGAATATAAAAGCCGCCACTCGTGGTTTTTCATAGGTCTCTCTCTCTCACCGTCTCTGTTGTCGGCGCAAATCGGAGAGTAGGAGATTCAAACTCAGTTGCTGGGTAATGCATCTCTCTGTGTGTTTCAATCGCATTGGAAATCGATTTTGTTTCTCATCGTGATACTGCTCGATAAGTTGGTTGGATCGTTACTTTTTCCGCTCTGATTTCATATCTTTCGTCGGATTTGATCAGCGTTGCTTGTGCGGAGTTTAAAAAGTTACGAAATTCGGTTATATAGATGATCTGATGTTGTTCTATTTTATATGTGATGTTGCTACTAGTAAATCGCGGTTCGATATGTATTCTCGAAAATGGAATCGTCACTTCAAATCATGTTTATGACGATAAGATCGTTCTTAGGGTTGGACCCATATTGTTCTCTCTCTGTCTTTGATCATATTTATCTTTCTCGGGCACTTGGGATTTATTCTTGTTTGATCTGCTCATTAATCTTGTATGGGTTTTGGATTGAGTTGGAGATTTGTGAATCGAAGAGAACTTTACTCTTTATGTTATTAAAGATTATATTATTCTTTGGGTTTGCAGAAAAAATGGCAGCCCCGCAAGCCAAGAGTGGCTTGTTTGTCGGATTGAACAAAGGACACATTGTTACCAAGAGAGAGCTGCCACCTCGCCCATCCAATCGCAAAGGGGTAAGCCCGATATTAAGTTTAGTTGAATCATTATTCATGGTTGTATTTAAAGTTGTCATTACTGATTTCTTGTGCTTTGATTGAATGTTGGACTTAACATGTCGCTTAGTCTATGGTTCTTGAGCCATTGAAGCTGCTTAGCAAGTTCTGTCATACAGTAGCGTCTTTGAAATTTCAATTGTACAAACATTGTTAGGGTGTCGATGAATTTTTAATACTCTATGCTCTGATCTTGTGGTCATTTCTTATTCCCATCGAGAGTCTTGATTGGCTTTGCCTTGTAAGTTATAAGATATCTTCAGCTGTTGTCGGATTCTTAGAACCTTTGTAGATAAATGTATTCGTATAACAATGTATAATGATGCTTCATATATATATATATATTTCCGGGCAAAATGAAGAAGCTTTCTTCCATTGACGGGTTTCCTGCTATGATGACCTAATGCTATGCAGAAAACGAGCAAGAGGACACTCTTTATCAGAAGCCTGATAAGGGAAGTAGCGGGTTTTGCTCCATACGAGAAGAGGATCACCGAGCTTTTGAAGGTCGGAAAGGACAAGCGTGCTCTGAAGGTTGCCAAGAGAAAGCTGGGTACTCACAAGAGGGCCAAACGAAAGAGAGAGGAGATGTCAAGCGTTCTCCGCAAAATGAGGTCAGCTCCTTTCTTTTCCCATTAGCTTATGATTTAGATATCATCATAATCTCTATAATTTTCAAAAATAAGTGAATCTAACATAAACCAAAATGTTTTGCACGTTATGATATATAAACACCTGACGTTTAATTTATGCATGTGCAGGGCTGGTGGTGTATCCGATAAGAAGAAGTGATTCCATAACTCTGGAATTTGAGCTTGGTTCCTAGAAATGGTGTTTTCTTTTGCTGAAAGATTGTGCCTTCGGATATTCTCTGTAGCACAGATTTGCTTGAATTATAAGTCTTCTTTCTTATTAGACATTGGCCGTTGTAGCCGTTCTTCATTGCAATTCCGACAAATGTTCACCTATGGTCAGGTAGAAGGCGTAACCCGAGTTGAAGTTAATCGTAAACCGGCCTGAACCGGGTTTAACTGGCAATCCTTGTTGAGTTGGGCCAGGTTTCGTGAAGTGGCTTGGACCCATTTCTTAGATCTTTCTTTTGCGTCGTATGGCTATTGTAAATGCAGTGAAAAATGTGGAATATGGCCATTTGGCCAATTACACTTTATAATTTGATACTGATGTTTCTTATGGAAGCAAATAATGGTCCACATAAATCTACACTGTAATGATATTTTATATTTTATAATTTCAAAGGTTCACTTCACATGGGCTTCCGTCGTGTCTGTAGTTTTCTTAAGGACCAAGCAACTTTTCATGGGCCATCGTCATGTCATCATTGTCATCATCATGTCACTATCTATTTTATCAGCATCCACATCTCATTTATTTCGTCATTTTCTTTATATAGATAATATTTTGTATTCCAAAGCCTATAATCATATATTATTACTTTCTCCATCTAGAAACGACGAATTTAATTGCCATTATACCATTCACTTTCATCAATGCAAAGATATTATATGAAATTTAGCATGTGTTTATATATATGTGTATATGTGCGTGCGTGTGTGTGTATGTCACATGTGGTTCGTGGTTGTTGGCCAAGTTCAAAAGGAAAGCAACTTGGGATGCTTTGGGTCGTAAAAGGACAAAAATGTTCGGAAAGAAAGAAAATGATTGGTGCATGTATTATCATTATATATATATATGACGTCATAAACGTTACAAATTCCAACATAGAAATCGAGAATGCCCCAAGGGCCTTCTGGATAGTGCGACACGAAAAGGACAAGTGAGTAACATTTAAAATTTATATATGTTTTGGACATATTCGTAAATCGACTATAATTGGTGTGTATATATATACACACACTCACCAGCTAGCTTTACAGTGGATTGAATATATCATTATATTTAGTGGTTTTTTAAACAATATATAGGCAAATGTTTTTATAGTTCCATAAAAATATTATTTAAATAACTAAGAGTTGGATTTGGAACAATAATGTCAAAAATGGTAATGATTGATATATATGTAACGTTGTTAAGGAAAACGTCGACAAATTTACTTAGCCATATCAAAAAGCTAAGGGGCCCCTCTGCTGGCTTATGGATTTTGTCTTATAAATATATGCTATGCATGCATACATACATACATACGTACATATGGACTATACATATATATGTGTATATATATGTATATATATGGAGAGAGCACTAACGAATCTTCATCTTGGTCGGTATTAGTTAAAAGGGAAAACCAATTTTATCATCATGTGTCATGTGTAATGGTATCAAAATATCTAGTTCCAAGTTATATGAATCTTGAATATTGGGCACGCATATTATTCAATGTGTATATATGTATATATATATATACACTCTAGATTATTAATTATTATTGTACCAAATCTTGAATTTTACAAGGACCATAACTTTAATACATGTGAGGGTTTGTTTCCATCTGAACTTACATATAACCCATTACCTAATCGCCATTCCGATCGGAGATGTGATTGAGCATGCTATATTAAATTAAATTCAAATAATTTGAGTGGAAAACATATAGTATAAATCATATATATATATATATGGATTTAGGGTAAAAAAAAGAGGAAAATAATATAATAATGAAGGAGAGGACAATTTGGGAAGACGTGAAAGACAGAAAGAAGACATTTAGTCAGCTAATCATCACACGCAGAGACAGAAATTCTTAGCTCTCTATCCCACCAAAACACAAAAGGTAAAATCTGTCCACATTCTTCTCCTCATTCTACTTATTATTGCCGGATTTTTTTGTTTTGTTATATTGGTGTAGTTAATTTCAAGATATAATATGTTATTTATATGATTATATATATATATATATATATTCCAAACAATAAAAAAAATTATTAAGAAACACGTGACACCGTACACTCTCCATATATATATAAATCAGTGAAACTGAGTGGACAATAAAAAGAATCATTAGTGAAATGGTGCTATTCTTTTTTCGTTGTACGTAGTTTCGTCGAAAGCAAAAGCTGATATATCTATTTATACAATATATATATATATATATATTAAACAAAGAGAGAGAGAAGACAGCAATCACGGAAATCCATGGAAGGATCCTGCGTGAATATCTGTGTTGCATATATATACATATATACATATATATTATAGGTGAAAGAAACAGCCACAAACAGTATTTGTATATTATAAGATCCGAAGATGTGTCTGTAATATTGATATGTGTGTTTCTGTTGTTAGATCTGACTTGGATTTCTGAGCCTATAAGCTTCCATCATCTTTCGTCGTCGTCGTTTATGTTTAAATATACAAACTGAAATTTGGGTAAATAAAATATATAAATTTAGCATTTCCTAACCTTTTTTTTTTCCAGTGTGACACTAAAAAAAAAAAAAAAAAAAAAAAAACAACAGCTGTTTAGCTGTTTCTCTTCCAAGATAACTCCAACAATGGTTTGCTATCAGATTTGGTTAGGTGGCACCTGAAAAAACATAAATGAAACACAAAATTCATGTTACTTTAAGATTTATAGTTAGTCAAGTTTGTAGATTATGTTACTTTCCGGTGCATAGACAAGATATTGGCAATGGCGAATTTGAATCACTCAAAATTATTATCCAAATCCCAATAACAACCAATATTATAAATTGATTAAAAGGGTTATATATATTACTTGTGAAAAATGATATTCACGACCGAGGAGTATTTAACTGAAAAGGAGACTGCTTTGGTAGAGCAGCCTTGGTCCTTGGTTGTTGCAAAAGCAAATTCAAACACTTGGGTTCTGCTCTTCACCATACCACCCGACGTCCAATTCCCCCCGCCGCGGAATTTTTATATATATATATATATAACTATTTGTGCATTGATCTGTGGCAGTTGGACCTTTTCCACGTGAAAAATATAATATGTCAAGAGCAATTAGAACCTTCTTTTTTTTTTGTTGCATTGTATATTATAAGATTTCCAAATTTGTACAGACGAATCATTCCAAATTTCTCGGTTGAATCAAATATCTGTATCACCGATAAATAAATGCATATATTTGGACTGAACACACACTCTATTATATATATATATATATATCAGTAATGATATGTGCGACGTTTTAATTATGCCCTTTATTTCCCGATCCATTTGCAATCCCAATTTCAAGCTAAGCAATAGCTAATATTAACATAGTCTTAGATCATTATGTTTCACAGAGTTATCAAGATCTATTTTTTAATTTAATTTATCACTATTTCTTAGTTCGTAACGTACAACTATTTATGTAACATGTGTTAGCATGTATATGTATATATATATATATAACAGGTGAATATGGTACAAGTATACAACATCAGTCATATATTATGGTGGATTTGGAAACGAGTGAAGCAGGAACATAACTCACTTGATTAGCTTAAGATTTGAGAAACTTTATTAACACAAAATTAAAATATGAAAATTGGGAGAAAAAGCTTCTCAAACAGTTGAAATCTAAGGGGAAAAAAATAATTTCCTATTTTTTTTTTAAAAAAAAATAGGGTTTAGGGTTAAAATCATAAATGAGTTTAGTTGTCACTTGTCAGTCGTAGAAGCTTTGGATCTGTGTGCGCGTGGAAGCGCGTGGAATTCAACCTCGAATCTCTTGGTTCTCGCGAATGGGCCCACCATCTGACTGCAACCGCTTCTTTTGTCGTCTAGTGATGCGTGCAGGCACGCTCCGCCATGACGCGTCGGTCTTTTACCAAATTTATCCGACATTGATTCGGTCGCCGTTCTGACGTAGACTCGCATGTCCCTTTTACTAAATGAAAAATCCAAAATTAATATATATTTTATATTGATATATTCAAATCATAAATAGATCTTTTTTTTTATAAGAATCATAAATAGATCTTTATTGAAAGAATTATGTTGGATGACAAAGCTATATCAAATTTTTAAGCACATGTTATATTCTATTTTATGTATCAATCGCCTTAGGTATGATCATCATGTTTATTACAATTGTATATATACATACATACTTTTTATATCTATTTGTATCAATAATGATTAATATAGTAGACTTCAAATATCGCCACCGAACCATAGGATTTAACATTTGTCGCTTTCGAAAGCCCATGTGTATTGAATGTGCAATCGATGGAGGATCATGCATGCATCGTACAATTAATCAAATGATTAATTTTGGAGTTGGTCACCACTACGCTTCGTAAAATTTTAATAATATGTACACACACACATACACATATATATATATATATATACGCACTCAAATAAATATGAACACACGGAAATTATAGATCACACACACCTCTATAAAGTTCAAATTAAAATTTTACTAAATATACATAAGCAATGTTATAGACAACTAAATACTTGTCGGACGAGTCAAACAACATTCATTTTCTGACAATGACGAACTACTGAAATTCCTTCATAAGTTGTATGCATCCCTAACTGTAAGTTGCAACGGTTGATGCAAATTTATGAAGAATATTATAGAAGATCGTTAGAGAAGATTTGAGAAAATTATAAAAATATTGTATAATATTTAGATTTGATATTATTTCTACAATGTTACGTTATTTACTATTTAGTATTTCATAGTTAAAGATTCGGAACTATATATATTCACATAACAAAACAATTCTTAGGAACTTCTGTATGAATGACCATCAGAAGCATAGCTTTGCTTATTTTTTGAATGATACCTCACATTTCAATCAAAAAGAAAAAAGAAAGAAAAAAGATAAAGATAGATCATAGATACATTTGAAAATCGAATAAAATATTCTCTGTTTGTCGAATTTCTCGAATCCGAAAAAATGAAACTAAAAGTATCTCCTTGTTCTTTTAAGGAAAAAAATATTGCAATCACACTTTTTTTTATATATATAAAGAACTCAAAATCACTAATACAATATTTCATTTTAATATCATCATTACAGGTGAAATATAATATTTATATAAACTTTTGCAAAGCCCGAAAACTAGCTATATATTCATTATAGTACATAATAATTAATATATCATATAATTAAAAGTTTTCCTACGTGATGAACACCAAAGTAGTTATTACCAAAACATATGCACATCTCAAAGCCATAATCAGCTAATGGCTAAAAGAAAATCCATGGACGAATTAATGAGTACTTTTATTACAATTTAGCTCCAAACGTTTACAACTTGGCTACACGCATATATATATATATGTATATATATATATGTGTGTGTGTGTGTGTGTGGTAGGATGTTCAACCAGTTATCTTGTAGATAAAGTTTCAAATAGATTCTCCATGCTTTACATCAAAATCATCAAAAAAGTCTCTAAAGTATTCCGTAAAAGACTCTAATTTAAAAAGAAATAGAATAATTAGAACTGTTCAAATTTGGACCGACTTCATAAGCAGTTAAAGAAATGTAACCTTTCGTTTCCAAGAAATTAATCCCAAGAACAAAGAATAATGACAAAATTTTAACTTATATTATAGGAAAATAAAACAAAATTATAATGAATACGTTTCCCGGTGAAGTTTACTGAATGCAGTCTATAAATGGAAAAGGTTTGGTGGTGAATTGGTTGTATTTAACACCTCATCATTATAGTCACTGGATTAATTAGAACTTAATCCCGCAATCAATTAATAGGCTTTTGAAAGTATTTGCAAGCTGGATAATGAGATTCATATATAGTTCTTACGAATATGGCCAAATAAAAATAAATATCTATACTTATGGTCATAAAAATGGTAGTAAATCATACAGTTGATGATACAATTAGTGACAAAAACTATAAGATATCATTATATGAGCTAGATAGATTTGTGTAAGATAGTGTAATTAATTAATTAGAGACCGACAAAATTTACCAATTACGCAGATAAAAATAGTATGTATATCTAAAAGATATATAATATTTTTAGATATGTCATGTAGATTCATAATTACTATAGATTTTTAAATAGAGACCACTATCTATAATGTTATAGATCTCTATACTCATATAGATATATTAGAAACAAACATCTAACTGAGATCAGTTATATATATTTTTTCATACGAATAAACCTCGTCAAAATTTAACTCGTATATAAACACAGCAATTAATAAAGTACTTAGACTCATGCAAACACACCATGCTAGAAAACGCATGTTCATACTTTCATACTTAAGAAGATAAAATTAAAACCCTAATTCTCAACCTAAAACACCAACCCAAGAGGAAAACGAAGCCAAACCCATAATTTAATAGAATGTAGAAAGAGAAAGAAAAACAAAAAACCTACAAAAAGATGTTGTATCCCCCCCCCCCCCAAAAACCCAAACACTTAGGGCTTTCGTCAAGAACCCATAAACTGCTCAATCCATGCGGTATAATCATATCCCCACACATGTTTTAAAGATAGCAATATATATAATGATCATCATGAGGTAATTAATAGGGTTTTTACTTAGAGAGGGTTGCTTGTGGAAGATGAGCTGAAATTAGAGACGTCGCTCCACGAACTGGTTGTAGCAGCGGAGACATTCCAAAGCTGTTCGGTGTTCCCGAGAAGCTGTCTGGACAAATCTTGATTGTTATTTCTGTTATTATTGTCTTCCACTTTGACAGAAGCTAACTGAGAAGCTGCTGCTGTAACCATGGCGGCTGTTGCCCGC